TGTGAATTTCTATATATAAAATGAAACAAAAATGTATGAATTCACTTAGTGTAATGTAATTAATGTGGTAAAGTCAAAGTTGTGTCCAAAATTTAATAAGGTTAGGTGAGCGGCTTTAAGGAAGCACCTGCTATTTAGGGTTTTTATATATATTTTATTGTAATTTCTGTATAAAAATGAATTTAATCTAATCCATAACAAATTTGTCTTACATTTGAGATTAAACTATGATTCCTTGAACAGGCGCACCCAAATTCGTACGCCCTGGTGGTCAGCATGGAGAACATCACACTAAATTGGTACTTCGGCAACGATCGATCCATGCTGGTCTCAAATTGCCTCTTCCGGATGGGCGGCGCCGCCATCTTGCTCTCTAACCGCCCTGCCGACCGCCGCCGTTCAAAGTACCAACTCATTCACACCGTCCGAACGCACAAGGGCTCTGACGACAAATGCTACAACTGCGTTTTCCAGCAAGAAGATGACACCGGCCGCGTCGGTGTCCGCCTGTCGAAAGACCTAATGGCTGTGGCTGGCGAAGCCCTAAAGACGAACATCACCACTCTCGGTCCTTTGGTGCTCCCAATGTCAGAGCAGCTCCTGTTCTTCGCAACGCTGGTGGCTAAAAAGATCTTTAAAATGAAAATCAAGCCGTACATCCCGGATTTCAAGCTGGCGTTCGAGCATTTCTGCATCCACTCCGGAGGGAGGGCGGTGCTGGATGAACTGGAGAAGAATCTGGATTTGAGCGAGTGGCATATGGAGCCGTCGAGAATGACGCTGAATAGATTTGGGAACACTTCGAGCAGTTCGCTGTGGTACGAGCTGGCTTACTGTGAAGCGAAGGGGAGGATCCGGAAAGGGGATCGGACGTGGCAGATTGCATTCGGGTCGGGTTTCAAGTGCAACAGCGCGGTTTGGCGGGCGTTGAGGACCGTCGATCCCTCCAAGGAGAAGAACCCTTGGATGGATGAGATTCACGAGTTCCCAGTTGAGGTGCCCAGAGTGGCCCACATCCATAAAGCTTGAAAAAGAAGATCAAATTCTTTTCTTTTCTTTTAAATTTTATAAAATTTAATGTTTTTTATTTCCGGATGACTTTGTGTCTTTTCTTGTAACCTTCTCAAATACCCATTGTTCATATTGGATGCCATTAGTTGTTCTACATAAGCAGTACAGACTGAGAAATACAGAGTTCGATGATGGAAAATTAGTAGACTTTTAATTGCAGATAAACCAATATGCTGATATATTTACATGCAGCAACGATGTGGTCGTGAGTCCTTAGCTTGATCGGTAACGAGTACTAGTTGAGTAATCCCGAGCGAATGAATGATACTTCTGATCACATGCCCCATACACCTTGAGCAGCAGCAACTTTATTGTTTGGTCTGGATGTTAGTTCATACAATATCCTAGCGAATGTATCTGAATATCTTCCATCTGAGAATAGTATTTCTGCAAATGCGTTTTCATATGCTAGGAGCAACCCCCTGTTCTGTGGCTCAGATACAAGACTCTCCAATATCATTGCTGCTTTCCTGCATATTTCTGGAACTGGATGAGGGGTCTTGATAACTTTAAGAAGTCGATCGATTGCCCTTATTTAGTTCCAAATACCGAGGGAAAAACAGAAAAATGTTTCAGTATCTAATGCAGCTCAAATGGTCATGTCTAGAAAGGCCAAGGAAAATAATTACCATCGTTCGCTTGCCAGCTTTATTCTGCAGTCCATATTAACTTCGACAAGGTTATACAGAGCACCAACAGCTGCTGCTTGTGCATCTAAAGCTGGGATGCTCATAAGGTCAACTAAGCGCTTGTGAATCTAATAAAATTCAACTAAAACATTTTACGGTCTATCATGCATAACACAACAGAAGACAGGGAGCTACATAATAGGTTTATCAGAAACAAACCTGAGGGGCAAAGGGGAGAAGGAACGGCTCATTATCGGGATTTATTATCAATCGTCCAAGTAATTCTGCAGCAGCACAGTGCCAAACTTTGACTGCAGATCCCAGCATTCCCATGATAGCTTCAACTGCACGTTTTTCTCTGTAGAAAAGTATGAAGCAAACTTGTTAGCATGAAATCATCATTCAGGTGAGCCTAAAAGATCAGTCGTAGATCGAAGGCTAACGTTATTTTGATGTAGGACGGCTTTGATGAGCTAAAGATACGAAGATCAAGGAGCGGGGCTAAATTCACAATTGTCTCTAGTGCATTTGTGACAAGCTCTTCATCCTCTGTCAACAATTAAAGGCTTCAGATGTAATTCAGACATACATACTCATATTCAGCACTTTAAACTTCAACTACTACACAAGAAACGCTTTAAATCAGTTATTCCATTAGAGAGGGTCATGCCATCAAATTCTAAAAGCACTGGTCATTAGGGTCATGAACTTCTCACCTGTAATATGATCTTCTACACATTGAAACACTGTTTCCAGAGTATGTCGATGTTGAGCCATAATGGATTCATTCTCTGGCATGAAAGAAAAATTTCGGAGGATATTTGAAGCAGAAACAGCACATTGCTGTCTTTCTGCTCGTCCTTCATCATCCCGATTAAATAGACCATCTTCATCGAGCCACCAATGTCGAGGAGATGGTTTGGGAGCATGACCCGTTGCCTTAGAAGCTGAAGAACCAGGTCTCAGGCTGCCGGGCATTAGTTATTTCAGAATTAATATTCAGTAAACCGGGCAACCATAAAGAAATGATGGCAAATAATCCTTTTATGCATACCCATTTGAGCCCAGTGCCTCAAATTCATTCCCAAATCCCGTTATATAAGAATTAGCACCTAATGTTCTGACCCTTTGCTTCTTTACAAGATCCCTTGGAAGTGCTATATCACGCCAATCATCAATCTGGAAGATGTAAAAAATACCCTTTATCACGAGATTTAATTGAACTCACAGGTTTAATTTTGCCACTTTCAAATTTCTATCCATGATAAAAATGGAATACAGAAGGACAATGAAATTCCCCACAGGAAGCTAGACATCATATTTATTCATCACAAAAGAATGCGCGAGAAAATGACTGAGAAGTTATGTAATACATACAACTTGAAGAAGAGCATCGAGCAAGCCTGGAATTTTAGCCAGAGGAGTGGAGTCTCTACGCATATCATCCTTCTCTTTGAAGGAGAGAAGAGTGAGAGTGTTAAGTGCCCATGTCAATTCACTCTTCAATCCACTCTGTAGAGCCAACACTATCCTTTTATTGTTTTGATCTGCTCGAGCAATTAAAGTTGAGGATAAAAACGGGACTTAATCAAAGAAACATCTCAACTTAGACAACAAATTCGAAGAATTAATGAACTTTGAGCTGATTTTCCAGTACAGAGGGAAAGTCCCGGAAATTAGAAGAGAAAACGAAAGGGGTTCCAATTAACTGACCCGCGAAGGAAGTATGAATATGGAGAGAAGGGCCAAGAAGTGCCGATGGAGCCAAGGTCTCCGACGCAGCGGCTGCAGCGGCAGCGTTACTGTTTACGCTGCCGAATGGACGGCCTCGCTTAGCCGGAGGAGCAGATGCGCTACCAACATTTCCACCCAACTTGTTCTGCTCTCTCTTCTGCATGGCCTATACCGATCTCTGTGAATTTGGCGTGATTCAGCGCTAGCGATCCGGTCCGACCCTAAGACAATCGGGAGCTGGAAATCGAATTAGGGCACTAGATTGGCGAGTGAATTCACCCACCAAATCAAATGAAATAAACTGGTAAGGTCCGAGAAATATAGGCCCAATTCATAAGCCCATATCTCAACATGCTTTTGCATCGGCCCAAAATGATGAGAATGGGAAGTTACCCAAATCCTCGCACATTTACTATTATTATTGATATTATATTATAATTATTTTATTTAATATAGGATGATTAAGTGTTAATAAATATATTCTTAAAAACAAATTTTTATAATTTTGGATAGCTGCTAAAGCCTAAATGAAAGGCCGTTCCCAAACTTACCATAAATGTGAGCTAAGAAACAAATACAGGGACATCGTATCAATGTAGTGAGGAATTGGGAATGTACTCCCTATGTTTCACTCTTTAACATAATGTTTAATACATGTCAATGCATGGACAAACTCATTTTAGGTTCTATAAAAATTAGAAAAATATATATACCAAAATAAATAAAAAGTATGAGAATAAATAATCCACCGACGAAATAAAAAATAAAAAAGAGAAAAGGTGAGAGACCAGGACAATGAAAAAAGAACACCCGCACCTTATCTCTCTCTCCCTTTTTCTCAATTTTTTTTTTTTAATTTTAAAAAAAAATTCTGATATCGTGTGGGTGAGGAGAATAATAGATAAAAATGAAGTTTACACCTTCCCAAGCAACCTGCAAAAAAATAAAAATAAAAATAAGTAGGTGAAAGGTTGCTTTCAACTGCGTACAATAATAATAATTATTATTATTATTATAATTATTGAAGACGAAAACATTTTTGTTTTCTTTTATTTAAAGAAAAAAGGAAACGAACACACATACAATCATATGACATTATTATTATTATTATTATTACCCTTTTTTTTATTATTACTTGCAATTATTAGTTTCCTAATTTTATAAATTTGAAATAAGCTTTTAAACGCGAGGGGATAAGAGGGAAGAGAATATCACGCGATTGGAATGAGTTCATTTACCGTCACACCCTTCGAGACTTCACCAATTCTATTTCTCTCTCTTTGCCTTTATACCCCCAATTTTTCCCTTTATTCCCAAACCTCCCCTTTAAAATTCTTAATTTTCTTTTCCACATTACAAAAAAATCGGATATTGTTTGTTTCCCACCCAGGAAACCAACCTATTTCCTTCTATTAAAATATTCATTTTATTTTTCTTTTCATTATCTTATTTCAGAAATCACCCAATAATAACAACATAATTATCAAGGTATTTATATTATATTTTTTTATGTTCATTTATACATTTTTTTTTTCAGAGATAAATTTAAAAAAAAAAAACCAAAACTTTTTTTTTCTTTCTCAAGATTTCTCTTTGAGAAGGGAAGCTAATCCGGTGACTATCTTAGCTCCTTTATCTATTCTCTTCGGCTTGATCGCAGGGGGTTGCCACGGAGAATCGCTCCCCGTCGCCGGTTCATTTTCGCCGGAGATTAACGTCGGCGATAGCGATTCGGGATCGCTGATGATTACGGACTCGATCGACACCGATTCCTCGCCGAAAATCAACTCGAATTCACCGCAATCGGTGTCGGTTGCCAGCGGGTCGTTTAGGATTTGAGATTTGGATTCTTCGGGTTCGGCCCTCGGAGGAGCGTTGGGGAGAGAGTCAGCGGTTCTGATCGGAGGAGAGAGCCATTTAGCAAGCATGTACTCGGCCTTCCTCCATGGCGGAAAATGCATTCCTTTCTTCTTCAGGCTCTGTCTTGCGGCTTCTGATACGATGGATATAATTTGTCTGAGACGTTCTGATTTCCCGACGAAGACGTACGGTAGCGTCTGAAGAATCGCTTTATATGTTCCCGTCGAACGAGCAATCTCGAATTCGGATCTAAAATCGATGTCTATCAGCAATCGTTCTCCATCCAGAATCACATCCACGTATTCGTATTCACCTAAAATCAAACAGAAATGAAATCGAATTTAAGAATATTGGGGAAAAAAGAAAATTAAGGCACAGGGGCGAAGTTTTCTGTACCAGCTGGGAAGGAGGGGGATTTCTCCCATTTGGATTTGCAGATGGAAGAGCTGTAACCAAGAGATGAGAGGGAATCGGTTACGATTCTGCGTAAATCGTCTTTCCGTTTATGAATTTTGTTATGCTTTTCGATGATTTTCGAAGTATCTGCCAAGAGGTTTCTCTCCGTAACGCTCGTGCAAGGGATTAAACCCTGCAACAAAATGTCGATTGTCAAATAAACTATGAAAAAGCTCGAATCTCGAACCTTGGAGTTTCGGCTCAGAAATTACCTTGAGTATATCACATACATCGCCACCGGATGATACGGAGTTGATCGATTCACCAAAACATCCAAATACATCGAATTCATCGTCAGAGCTGTCATTGCTATTGCCGTTGAAGCAATTGCAGGGATTACGGCCATACTTGACAGCTGCCGATTGCTTCTCGTTGCTCTCCTCGATGAAATTCTGCACCATCTTATCTAAGCAAACCGAGCTCGGCTCGAACTCGGTCCCTCCTCCTCCATCTTTGCTGCTAAACTGAGCTGGTTCACCAACAATAATCGGTTTCTCAACCGCAGAGCTTCTCAGAACGCTCGGAAACGGCCGATCGAAAAGTCGCCTCAGTCGCGATTTTAACAGAGGCTTGGCCGATTCAGGACGAACCTGTTCTCTCACCGTCTTAACATCGATATCAATCGGTTGGATCTTCATTACCGAAAAGAAACAAACAGAAAATTTTCTGCTCCCTCAATAAAGTTCCGAAAATTAAAAGAGAAAAAAAATTGCAATACAGATTTGCTCCCGTCTGAAATTCCCAAACTACACCTACTAAATCTCTACTCTATGCAGCTCGAGTTCATTGAAATTCACGGACTTGCAAAAAACCAAATCACAGAGAAAAATCAGAGAAATGAACTCCAGAGAGTTGCATGTACATTCAGAATCTCCCACTCTAAACCTTTGAACTCAAAAAATGAAGAACAAAACGGAATCAATGACACGCTTCCACTAATCGCTCCACGCCCACTGGTCAGCTACTCCAGACTCAGAATAGCCGTGCAGCGATCGAAAGGAAAAAAACCACCGCAAAAATGTACTACAAAGGCCGAAAGAGAAGACACTTCTGGAAAAATGCTGGAACAAGAAGGAAGTACAGAAAATAGGGAAAGGAAAAGGGAGGAAGGTTATCTCAGAGATTTTTCGTGAAAAACATGGCGGCGATGATTGCAGAAGGAAACGGCAAGTCCTGATCTGAATGGGAGTGTGATCGGAAAATTCATCTTCCGATGAGGAGGTCGCCGGAGAAGATGAGATTCGAGAAAGGTCGGAGAGAGTGGGTTTGTGAAGGAGAGTGGTGGTCCTGAAAGGGGGCGAGTAATGGAGTGGAGAAAACCGGGCCGGGGGTTTTATAAGGAAATAGAAGAAGATGGGTTGCTGAGTGGACATAATATTTGCCACGTGGAGTCCTACATGGCAGTAATAATCCTGAAATTGGCAGTTTGCTAGCGTGACAATTATTGCACTTTCACTCAGTTGGGTCCATGGATATGGGCCAGATGGCGAGACGTGTCGCGTGGATGAAGTGGTGGGTAGTTTTTTCTCTGTTTTAGATTAATTAATCTAGCCGAGGTGAAAAAGGACGTGAAATTCCAAATACACCCCTCCACTAATATGGAATACCGGGTAGATGCCCTCGTTTTCCGGAGATATCGAAAGCAATCGTGGCAAATGTGCAATTTCCCACTTTTTTTTATTTTTATTTTAAATTAATATATTTTTGTTTTCTCTTTTTTAGGAAGTGGGGGACGAGAGCGGGGCAAAGTTTACGGTGTTCGCAAAAATATTTACCATCTCGAAAATAAACTTGGTATTAACATTTTTAATTCAATAAAATAAATAAATTCTCGATTCAGTCTCGTGTATGGTAACAAATAATAAAATACATATATAATTGAAGCTTCAGATATTTAGACAGATTTTTTTAATAAATAAATAAAGTTTTCCTTAATATTCAGTTGAAAAGTCATTTTCATGATCAAATAAGTACAGAAATTCAAAATTATCGGTTGGTCTACCCCCATCAAGCTTTTAATTATACTTATAAAAATTCCAATCATCCACATTTAATCTTTATAATAATGTTTAATTTATTGAAATAAAAAAGTATATGGTTGTGGTATGGGTGGGGTAAATAATGGTTAAAATATATGGAATTATTAAAGAAAATGGGTGGACGTAGGGTATAGGGCCAGGTGGCGGTCAACATTCGTGATGACCATGGACCGCCAGACATGCGTCCGTACGTGGTCCGGTTTAGGCTCCCTGTTCGGTTCCACAAAAATAAGATTGTCCAAGTGTTGATTCTAATTAAAACAAAGCCAAGAAGTAATTCTAACTTTTGAAATTAGTCTTCTTAAATACCTATATTGTATGGCAAGTAATCCATTGCCCAAGTTTTGGAGTATATTGGTTGCTTGCTGGCTTGATCTTTCTTTTTTTCCTTTTGGGTGTAATGGGGGAGAGAGGCATTGATGCGACTTCAGTGAAGCTGTTCTGATGATGCCCAATGAAATTATTGAATTCTCACTCTTTTTCTGAAACTCATCATTCTCCTTTGTAAAGCTTTTGGGAACATGGGCTTGTCATTAGCTTTTGGACACTTTCAGATGCCTTCTATTTCACAATCTATTTTCTTTTAAAACACCCCAAATAAATATCATATCCACACCAATATTGTGGCTCATTTAATTCATTATTTGGAGGAAATTCTTTTCTTTTTTCTTTTTTCTTTTTTCTTTTTTGAGTATTGGGCCCAATGGGCCTACAAATGTCTAGTTTCCGTGGTAGACGAGGGGTCAAATCCTTGTGGAGACACTCCCTCAATAATTATATAATACTTATGTATTCTATTTTTTTTATTATACTCAACTATTCAACTACTTGAGTGGAGCAACATAATTAGGTTTATTTCTATTTTTAAGATGAATTGATTAATAGTGTGTTGGAAGCTTTTCAAATTTTGATAAATAACATTAATTAAGAAAAAATAAAATATGGTTTAGAATCAACTTAATCCAACCCAACCCAACCATCAATTTTCAAGTTGGGGTCGTGGAACTATAATATATATATATTTTTTTTTAAATTTACAACTAATATTAAATTGTTTTCAAAAATTCAAACCCAATCCACCCATCATAAAGATGAAATAAATAAATAAATAATACTAAGATTTTAAAATTTAAAAATGACATAAAAGTTCAAAACGGCGACGTTGCTGAGGATCCCATTACCCACTATGGAAGCTACCCCCAAGTATAGTAAACAAAGTCATTTTCCTTGCAACCACCAAAACCAAATTAAAGTCCCAATTGGTTGATATTATTATAACTTTATTCTCAATCTGTTGGCCTACCAGACCCCTTTACCTTTTTCCATCATTTTAATTTATTTTTAAAATTGTGGATGTACATTTTTTAACTCTAAATTAATTGAATTATGTTTAAATTAGTTTTTTTTTTTTTTTTGGGTATGATTTTATGAGTATTTAGCTTAAATGGTTAATTATGATTACTAAAGTCCATCCATTTTTATCATAGAATTGAAAAATACTTGTTTAATTAAATTCGTGTATGATTAATTTCTAAAAAACAAATCCAAAATATTTTATTAGGCCTAACCCACATGGGTGATGGGCCCACTATAACAAAAAGGATTAAAATGATAATGATTTAATGGATTTAATTTAATTAGGTTTAGGGTTAGTGAAGATTGTTAAGTAGCCCTATTTTTTTAAGCACACACAATATTCTTTAATCATATCCTACCATATTCTATTATTTATGCTAATATTTTCAGACCAATCCTGTCATATGTTCCTTTTTTTTTTGATATCCAAGAAAAAGATTAGAGGTAAATGTGACACAATCCTTTACCAATGGATAAAAAATTAGCGAAATCTTATCTCGTACGTGTAATATTAGAAGAAGGATATAAAATGTAAATTCGAACGTGAAATTTAACGTTATGAATATTTAGGTAATCATTCATGTCGTGTCAAGGTAAGAATTGGGTGCGGAAGCAAACAAAAAGCTTACATGATCGAATGCGAAAAAAGAGAAAAAAATAGAGGGGTGATGATGAATGATGAAGACATAAAGTTGTTTGATGAGGAAATCTACTTAATGTGTTAATTAAAAAAAAAAAATAAGTTTTTAAAAAATAGATCGAGGAGAATAAGAAAGAGAGATAATATCAACTTGAACATAGTTCAGTAGATAAATATATGAATTATCATCTCCCACAGCTTACGCTTGGGTCCATTTGCGATTGTTTTGTCCTTATACTAGTATCTTATATAAAAGTATTATTAGGGTTTGCCCTTTTTTTTTTCTTATTATAAATTAAATAAATCCCACTTTATTTTATTTTCATTTTCCTCTTGGAAAAAGAATCTAGGGAAGTATTTGGAGAAGAATCTCCTTTTCTTTTTCTTTTTATTTTTTAAATGAGGAATAAAATTTTAAAAGAAAAGGAAAACAATAATTATTATGGTCTAAAAATCATTAATCCATTAGGTACAACATTGATTGATTGCCATTATTAAGCTATTCCTGATTAATATGGTTTTATACTTTCTTAATCATGATTTGACTATTTAAAAAAGTTCAGGTATATATTAATTTATTCCGGAATAAAGTAGTTGGGCTCTCTTTTATTGGGCTGGGCTTCGGCCACATAATCTAGGTCCAATATGTAAGATCGAGTTTAACAGCCCAGCCACTCAGGCCCAAACAAAAAACAAATTTTAAGTCAAATTTTTTTTAATAGCTATTGCAGATTTTTGGAGAACACAACTAACTTAATGGAGTGGGTTTCCGATTGTGGATATTATATTATACCCAGCTAAACACGCAGTTACCCTTACAAAGATGGACACGTCAGCCGCCACAATGGATCAAATGATCCTTGCTGTCCACCACCTTCGCTTAAAGCTCATTTAACTTGCGCGAAAGAATATTAGCGCTGCCCCAATTTATCATTTTCTTTCAGAAGCTAGAAATTTCAGTTCTGAATCGCGTATTAGGGTTTTCTCTTTGGCTTCTACATCGGTTCCTTCTGTAAACCTCCTGCACTTCACTCTTCCATATTGGATTTCCCGCATCGATTTAATCAGGTTCGGTTACTGTCTTTTCAATTTCTGCCCTTTTTGTTTTCTGAAGCAATTCTGATCTGGATCTGCAATTTTTCATCCCTCCGGGTCTTCTCGTCTAGTTTTCATTTCTAGGTGATTCTAATCGTTTTCGCCAACAAATTCCATGTATTTGACTTCTATGTTGTTGTTGATGAGGAATTTATGTTTTTCTTTGTTTGGACATTTAGGCGATTTGTCGGTCTTTTCCTGTGGGATACGATGGGGGCTTTCATGTCGAGATTCTGGTTCATGTTATTTCCGGCAAAAGAATACAAGATCGTGGTGGTTGGGTTGGATAATGCGGGAAAGACGACGACTCTTTACAAATTGCACTTGGGAGAGGTTGTTACTACCCATCCTACCGTGGGAAGCAATGTTGAAGAGCTTGTGTACAAGAACATTCGATTCGAGGTTCAGTCAATCTATATCAATTTACTTCTACTTTGCCTTCTTATTGTTCTATTTTTTATGGATGCTCCCTGTTTGTTGTTCATTATATTCCACCCATTGGGGATTCTTCTCCTCCATCAATTTCACTGTAGCATTCTATTTGAGTATTGGTTTGTATAGTTTTGCACTGTGATCTTTGAATGCTCCGGCCAGTTGGATGTTTAGTTGTCACGTGAAATTGCGAGTTTGTGTATTTGGTTGATGCAAAAGATTGACTTAGAAAAGAAAATTTGATGGCAAGATATGGGAATTCGTGTGCTGTCTGTAAGCCTGATACCTTGCGTGTGAAGTCCCAAAGTAGTTCTTGAATAAAGCAACGTATTCCCTTTTTTTATCTTCGGGAAGTCTAGTCCTGTGAAAAGCCCAGCCGAAGCATGAGATTTATCCTGGCTTATTATGAGACATATTTGGTGAGAGCATTCAACTGGGAACTTCCCAAAACCTCCCACAATTTGCAGTCTTTCTGAAGGGTAAAATTGGGTTGATGTTTGGTGATCTGCGTGTGGTTTCCTCAGAAATTGGGCTGGTTTATTAGGATAATAGAAACCAGAGTACGTGTTGGAAAATTAGATATTTAGATAATCCATTTATATAGGAAACTTTGCACAAAACCCGTCTTTGTTCCTCTTATGGAAGGTGAAACTGAGCTTTTCCCTCAACTAAACATGTTCCATTTGGAAATTTTTTTTCTCTAGGTATGGGATCTTGGTGGGCAAGACAGGCTTAGGACATCATGGGCAACATATTACCGCGGAACGCATGCAGTGATTGTTGTGATAGACAGCACAGATAGAGCAAGAATCACCATCATGAAGGAGGAGCTGTTCAGACTACTCGGTCATGAAGATCTTCAGCAATCTGTGGTGCTGGTCTTTGCAAACAAACAGGATCTTAAGGATGCCATGACTCCCGTTGAAATCACAGATGCTCTTTCACTCCACAGCATTAAGAATCACGACTGGCACATTCAAGCCTGCTCTGCCCTCACTGGAGACGGTCTATACGATGGTCTCGGATGGATTGCACAGCACGTTACCGGCAAAGCGACTAGTTGATACGAAAACTCACAGATGTAAGATTCATTCTTGTAATCTTGTGGTTAAACTCCTCGCCCTTTATCTCTTCTTACACAAGTCGAGCAGTTTATATATCCTGTTTAATTCCATTTTGATTTAAGGGTTGTATTAAATTTTTTGAAAAAATGGAGCCATATAAAAGAATTGCCTAGTGTCATTCCAAATGAGACGTAAGGGTTGATATGGATTTTGTTAAAAGATTACCTGTTTTTCTGCCCTTAAAATGTTATCGATAAGATTATAATACATTTAAAATTGCCGTGGATTGTGTGCAGCAAAAGAGATTAGGTTTAATTATTTATTTTTCGAAAATTTCAAAAAGAAAAAAACTATTCATCAACCTGCTGCAGTACTTGAACGTCACGAAGATTTAGAAAATAATATTTTTAAATACTTCATATGTACATTCTGAAAGTACTTTTTGGATTCTATACCAATTGGCAAACCCAACATTAATGGGTAATGTGAATGCTCTGTTAAGGAGAAATGGGTGAATCTTGAGCTTGCCAAACATCGTCTCATGGGAGCTTTCAATTTCAAATTCACTCTGTGGAAACCAGAATGGTTACAAAATCCAGCATCTGCATCGACATTGGCATCGATTCGAGTCTTTCGGGCCTTCGAACCATCGATCCCAAGCTGGATTCACCGGGGCAAGAGTTCTGGCAAAAACCAAACCAGAATGAATC